GAGCTCCGGTTCCGCCCACCAGCGGGAAGATCAACCAGCCGTGATGGCATCAGCGCCCTGCGTGCACGTGCGTATGCGTGTGTGTGCGTGTGTGTGTATGTGTGAGGGTGACGCATGGCGTCGTGTGCAGGGAAGCCTTGGCAGACATTGTGCACAGCGAGCGAGGCCAGTTCACGATGCTTGTGAAGGTGTCCACCTTGCTTCGTCGTCGTCCTCTTCGTACTCATACTCGTCATCGTCATCGTCATCATCGGCAGCAGCGCCGTCGCGCCCGCCTGCACAGCAAACAAACGTACGAAGGCACACACAACAACGTTGGTGTGGAGGTGCAAGGAAGCAAACACGAACGAAACACACAGCACGATCAATACAACCAAAGCAATCAAGCATCACAACAGGACGTGCGCTGCACCTTTTGGATCAAGGACGATTGCAAGTTCGCCGGCAAGTGTCGAGAGCGCTGTGATGTCGCCAACAGCGTCGTTGTACCCAGCCGTCACCTGAACCAAGGAAGGGAAGGAAGGGAGGAAGGGAATATGGGAATGCAGGGAAGAGGGAAGAACATGTGGTGTTAGCACCATGCTCTGTGTGCAACCTGCTCATCATGAACATGATCACCACCGCCACCATGATCATGATCACCACCTATCACCACCACCACCACCACCACCACCACGTGCCAGTACCATGAGTGGGATCTCGTTCTCGACGCCCTGGAACAGCTTGACAATGTTGTGTGCGCACGACTCTGCCTTTGCCCCCAGCTGCTGCGCCAGCTCAAGCACAGGCCCCGTCTCCGCTTGCGCCCTGAGCAAATGGAAGGGGGGGGGGTGCGTGGAGGGCAAGTAAAGAGGATGCAGGGATGGTGAGGGCAGCGAGCGTGATGAAGAGACAGCGGCCCAGGTAGGCGGTGGGTTTCGGCTATGGACAAGGCAGCCATGCATTGAGCAGCCGTCGACACAGACGAGCAAATAAAGAGCAACACACAACAAAGTCAAGCGAACTCGTGCACGAGACTACTGCACATCGTCCTTCCTCTCCTTGTTACGACGAACCTGAGGTTCCGGACGACAGAGCCGATGCCGTGCATGGCGGTGGTGGCTGACACGGTTGCGTTCCTGGCCAGTCCCGTGTCCTTGAGCGAGAGCAGCGCCTCCCCGCTCGCCTGTTGCTGCGCATGCTTGTCATAGCCGTCACGAAGCACGCCTGCAGCCACCTTGAGCGACGACAGGCATGACACCAGCTCGTTCGTCCTGTAGCGTAGGATTTGAGTTGGATGTGTGTGTGTGTGGTAGCTTGTGAGGGCATATGAAGGGTTGAGTAGAGCCGAAACTCACACACAGGCAGTCAGGCGGGCACAGATACAGAGACACAGGCACAGACACACACACACACACAGAGGCACACACACACACAGACAGACAGACAGACAGACAGACACACACACACAGACAGACACACACGTGTTCACACGCTTCAGCGACCAAACAGCCACCGCATCAGCGCAGGAAGCAACATCACAACTGACAGTGTGAAGCGGACATCCGCTGATCGAAGTGCAGCCGTGATGTTCCTGACATAACGGCAGCAAATGGCAGTGGCAGACGGCTCTGCGCTGTGCGCGGCTGCAAGCTGCTGTCCCGCCGTCTTGGACCGCAGCCGGACGCCGTTCGTCTGGTGATGGTGTGTGGCGTCGTGTTTGTGAGTGTGTGAGCGCGTGAGCGCGTGTTTGTGAGTGAGTAAGTGAGCGCGTGAGCGCGTGTTTGTGAGTGAGTAAGTGAGGGTGTGTGAGTACAAGTGAGAGTGGGGTCGAGGATGGTGAATACGCGGACGTTCCGGCGAGCAGTGATGCACTTACGCGAGTTGATGGCGTGCGAGGGGAGCTGAGGAGTGATGATGAGGAGGAGGAGGAGGATGATGATGATGATGATGATGATGATGATGAGGAGGAGGAGGAGAGCAGAGGCGGTGGAATGTGATGAGATGATGCAGCAATGCCGACGATGGTGATGACGATGCCGTTATGCAAGCGTGCAAGCACGCAAGGGACAGGAGTGAGGCAAGCAAAAGGGAAACAACAAGGGGCAAGAGAAGCGAGGGGAATGTGCAGTGTGGTGACTCACAAGACGCTTTCGGGCTGGCTGTCGTCCGAGAGAGAGCCGGAGCGGCGCTGGGGATGAGGAGAAGAGGAAAAAAATGATTGGACGTGTGAGATGATGGCGTGTGGAAGAGGTCACACCCAAGCGAAGGAGCAGGGGGGATAAGGGCAGATGGGGACGCAGACACACACGCGCACAGACAGACAGACAGACAGACAGACAGACAGACAGACACACACACACACACACACACGCACACACACACACACACACGCACGCACGCACACATGCAAGCTGCGCGTACGCTGGCGGATCCGCGGGCAGAGGCGAAGAAGTCTGCAGTCTGTGCGTGATCGGAGAGCGTTGGCGAGACCTCAACCTGCTCGTCGGCCTGCCACTCGTCGTTGGAGTCAAAGTACAGCTGGCGCGCACCATCGGGTGTTCGCTTGGTCGACTCCTGTTGCCGATGGAGTTGAGGGAGGGGGGAGTAATGGGCAGGGGTGAGGCGTGCGGAGAAACGAAACAGCCGCATGCGTGCAACTTGCAAATAAACGCACGCACATACACATACACATACACATACACATTCACATACACATACACATACACATACACATGCACATGTACGCACAGATGCACACTCACCCACGCACACACACACACGCACGCACATGTACGCACACACGCACACACACACACACGTAGGCACATACACACACACACACACGCACGTACAAGCACAAGCCACGCACAGGTGCAAACGAGCATATCCCTCACTCCCCCCCTCTATTGCCACTGACCCATTCGCTGTAGAGGTCGCGCATCTGGCGAAGTCTGTCCTCGTACTTGTCGACGCTCCACAGCGTGGCAACCTTCATGCTCGTGTTCACCACCTTCACCATCGGCGTGCCGCGCGCATTCGACAGCGTAAACATCGTGTTCTGCGCAAGCGACGGGTGGAAGAAGGGGGGTGGGGGAGGAGAGGTGTGGGTTAGGCGTGGGGGTCAGGGTAGCGTGAGTGCATGAAGGGTTGAGCTCAAAGGCAAATGAACGGCAGGTGCCCGTCGCGCTGCATTGCATGGCACACACACACACACACACACACACACACACACACACACACACACACACACACGCACAAACCTGGTCGAGGTCCTTGGCGATCTTGTTTGCTTCTGTAAAGCTCTGAATTGTCGCCAGAATCGTGCGCGGGTCCACGTTGTCGTTGAACACATCCTGAGGCAACAAACAAACAAAAACAAACACGCACGCACACACGTATGCACGCAGCGAAAGGAATACATCATCGACGAAGGAGAGATGAAGGTAGTTGCAGCGATACTTGCGATAAGCACGAACAACACCATCACGCGTTGACAGCACCGAATGCTCAAGTGTATGTCCATGTCGTTATTCGGGGACGTACGCTGGCGTCGCTTTGCGAGACGATGGACTTGAGGTTCAGGCGTGCTTCGTTGTATCGTTCGTTGTTCATCTGTTGATCATCGAGCAAAGGGGGCGGGCAGGCAGTGATGAGGAGCAGACGCGAAGCGGAGGCCGGGGCGATGGCAGGAAGCAACAGCCACACACACACAACCACTCACACACAACCACTCACACACAACCACTCTCACACACACACACACACACACTCTCTCTCTCTCCCCACACCTTGAGTTCCTCCATTGCGGACTGGATTGTGTTCTTCTCGCGCATGAGGTCTTCGATGATTTTGTTCTTCTCCTCCAACCGCAGCCGCTCACGATTGCTCTCCTCTTGCAGCCGCTGCTCAAGCGCTCGCTTCTCTTCCTCAAGCTGCTTCTTCTGCGCCTGCAGACGCGTTTGTGCCTGCAACGGTGGTGGTGATGGTGATGGTGGTTGTGGGCGGGGTGAGCCGACAAGAGGGTGAGAACAGAAACACGACGCCACATTTGCACACACACACACACATACACACACCCACGCACACCCACCCACACACACACACTCGCACACACACACACACAGCAACATCGCGGGTGACTGACGAGTTCTCGTTCTTCGCGCTGCAGCTGAAGGGCCTCCTCCTCTGCTCTCTTCAGCAGTGACTCCTTCTCGCTGTCCGTCTTTTTGATCGCAGATTGCAGCTCCTGCACACACACGCACGCGCGCGCGCACACGCGCATATGAATTGAGGTGATGCAGCAACTGCAGCAACTGCAGCAGCAACAGGCAGTCACTACCACCACCATCACCACCACCACCACGACCATTGCAAGCGCCATTGGTCACCTTGAGCTTGTCCTCGTATCGTCTGCGCTGTTCTTCAAGCTGGCCCTCCAGCGCCCGCTGGTACTCCGAGCGCTGCTGCTCGTGCTCAGCCTCAAGCTCAGACTGGACCCTGCGGTGATGACGGTGATGATGCCGGTGGTTGCGGTTGAGGTATGGAAGGGAAAAGCGCGTTGAGCAGCACATGTACACGAACGGACAGATTAACATGAACTCAATCCATCATACACACACAGACAAACAGACACACACAACATACACACAGACAGACACACACACAACATGTACATTGCAGGATTGTGGACCTCTTTCGTTCGCGCTCAAGCTGTTCCTGCAGCCGCTTCGCTTGCACGGCCTCAAATTCCTGTTTGGCAAACTGGTAGTTCTTCTCTTGCGCCTATTATTTGGGGCGAAGACGGATGAACGGGCGGTGGTGAGGTGTGAATGGGTTGTGCATGGCATGTGAAAGAGGTAAAACACGGCAGTCCTTGTGTTAGTGTCGGGTGGCAGTGAACTGCACTGGATGCACGGTGTGCGCCCCGTTTGTCATGTTTTCATGTTGTGACATCTCACCGCCTTGTCCTTGGCCAGCTGCAGTTTCCCCGTCCTGTTGATGCGCACGGGCCGGCGTTGCACATGTGAGCGCTCGGGATGAAACAAGAAGGGGTGCCAGTAGCGACGGGGAACAGCGTCAACAAGAGGTTGCAGCACGCGAGACAACAACGCTCGAAAATCAAACCCACAGCCATGGCAACAGCAGCCATGAGGGCAATACGAAGAATCAAATGCGTACGCGGATTTGCTTGGGACGTTGAGGCGGAAGAAGTGGTGGTTGCCGAAGATGATGCGGTCTGCGTGGTGCACATCCGTCGTCGTCAGTGGCTCGACTTCATGGCCTGGCAGCGGCAGACGGTTTGTGGTGGTGGCGGATGGGCGAGTGATGGGGAGGTGGTGGTGGTGGGTAAGGCGAGGCCGCAACTGACAGCTGTTCACACACGCATACACAGACACACGCACACACGCACAAACAAGCAAACAAGCAAACAAACAAACAAACAAACACACGCACAAACTAACAAACAAACAAACAAACAAACAAACAAACAAACAAACGAGCAAGCAAACAAGCACACGTACAAACAAACAAACAGACACATGGCCGGGCGCACCGTTGACAAAGACGAGGGCGTCCTGTGCGGGCGTGAGCTGCACGATGTACGACTCGTCGCTCGGGTGACAGGTGATGGTGCAGTGGCGCGGCAGCACCAGCGCACCGCCAAGCTTCACGTCCGCATCCTCCGAATTGCCCACAATCACCTCGCCTGAAGTGCATGTGGATTGCATGCATTGCACAGGGGCACATTGACAGGGGGCGCGCGTCAGACATGAAGAACAGAGAAGAAAAATAAGCCCACTCATCCACGTCGTCACACATACACACTTGTGTACATGTGTGTGCGCGTGTGCGTGTGTGGTGCTGACCTCGCTTGAGGCCGTACACGAGCATTTCGGACAGCTGCGGGTCTTCGTTGAGGTTCACCAGCGTCGGCTGCTGGTTCCCGATGTGCTGCAGGTTCTGCCCACGCGAAAGTGGGAACGGAGGTGGGAATGCGTGGTGTCGTAACGAAAAGGATTGTGACGATGCAACGTGGAGCAAATTTAAGGTGAGAATACGAAAAAGATGTGAGGGATACACGTGTGACTCATGTTCAAACACGAACACGCACGTACAGGTACACAGGCACACTTGCAAACACACGCACATACGCACACACACACACACAACAACAACAACAACAACAACAACAACAACAACAACAACGCACCTCGTCGCCGCCCTGTGTCTCGTGCTGCTTTTCGTATTGCTGGCGCGTCTTCTCAGCAATGCGCAGTTTCTCCTCCCAGCTCCTGTTCATGGCGTTCATCAGCGCCTGCGTCTGCGACAACTTGTCCCGAAGTGCAGCCACCTCCTGCGAGCTCGTCTGGGCACGCGGTAATCATGCACGGTGATGGAACAAAGAGTGCACGCGCAGGCGGTGTTTGAATGCGGTGGGGAGTGAGACGAGGTGGGCGAGGGGGAGCACGAGCAAGGCAAGCAACACCACCACCACCGCCGCCGCCAACACCACGTGTCATGCTCTCCACTACAACGTGCCTCACATGGCATCTCCACCACCTCTATCACCACCACGACGGCATTACCGATGGAGTGCCGAATTGCGCGCGAAGAGCATCAATCTCGGAGCGCAGCTCGCGAATCAGCCGCATATTTGGATCCTCGTTCACGTGCGCCACATTCACAATCTTCAGCGCCTGGTGTGCATATCTGCAGGGCAGGCGAGGTGGTGTTGGGGTCGTCGTCGTGAGGGTGTGTGTGTGTGTGTGTGCGTGTGTGTGTGTGTGTGTGTGTGTGAGGGTGGTGAGTTGGTGTCGAGGGGATGGTGGTACACCAAACCAGAACAAACAAACAGATGGGCGGGCAACATGGACGGACAAGACCAGGGCAAGCACACAGGCAGACACGTGCATGCACATCCACATCAGCTCTCAACCGCAGCCAGCACGGCCATCCGTACCTGAGCGTGCTGAGGCTCTCGTCGTAGTTGTCCATGGCTGGAGAGACGGTGGCAAGCATGGCGGTCTTGGAGTTGCCGCCCAGTGATTCCTTCAATATCCACGTCAGCACAGAGTCTCGATACGGGATGAACACCTGACAGCCGCATCAAGTCGTTGGCGGTGGCGGTGGCGGCGGGTGAGTTGTGACACAGGCTTGGGGAGGGGGAAGGGCGAGGTGAATGGCAGCAGTGATGGTATGTGCACATGTGTTATTTGCCTGCATGTGTGAATATGGGTTGCTTCATCGCACAACAAGCGCTTGTTACCTTCTTGCGTTGTTTGGATGTGCTCTTGTCTGCGAGGAGGGAGATGACTTTTCCGAGCGTGTGCAGCGACTTGTTGATCGCAGAGCCCTCCTGTCCACGCACCAAGCAACAATGTTGACAATGATGATGACGGTGATGGCGTTGAGATGGGGATGGCAGGCAGGTGGCGACAACGCAACAACAAAAGCCACACATGTATTACGCACGCGCACACATACATGCGAATGCAAAAGCAAGCAAGTAACAGCCACACTCGCACACACACACGCACACAAAGCTCTCTCACACACACACACACACACACACACACACACACACACACGCACACACAGCAAACGTACCCTTAGGCGGACGCCCGTTGTTCCTGCTGCGTCGCTGCGCTCACTGCCGGCCAGGTCGACCAGATTGACTTTGCTCACCTTCGAGTGCTCCTCTCCTTCGTCGTCCGTCTATATGCACGCACACACACACAATTGGTGGTGGTCAACACAGCACAATCGCGCAAGCACGCGCAAGCGAACGCGCCCATGTGCGTGCGTGTGTATGGGTCCAACGGTGGCCGAGTGCCATCATGCCATGAGCCACGCCCCTTCCCTCCTCTCTTTGCCACTGCAACGCACCTCGACCTGTGTGACGACCATGGAGAAGACGGCGTGGGAGCGGCTGCTGGTCGCGTTCATGTTCGTGGATGCGGTGGCGCGGTGCTTTGCGCCGACGTTCAGCCACCCTGACGTGGTACGATGGTGATGGTGATGATGGTGATGGTGATGAGTGGTGATGGTGGTGAATGGTGAGGGGAGTGGAGGACGGGAAGAGCAAAGCGTGGTGTGGGCGAAAGGGAGAGCAACCGACTGTAGTCCACGCAAAGAACGAAGACGCACGTAGCAATACCACCACCAACAGCCATGATTGCAAGGGCGACGCTGACGCGGCACCTTCGATGTCGTGGTATGAGATGACGGCGTATGTCTTGAGATTGTCCACATATGGGCCCATAATTGGGTGCTCCCGAACCTTCAGCGCCTGGTGGGAGTTGGTGTTGGTGATGGCGGTGGCGGTGGTGGCGGTGAGTGTGTCGATTGAACCACAACACAAAGCAAGTGCATCACCAGCGAACCCAACAGCCTGCAAACCCTCCATTTGCACTGCACCTGCATGCGTCCTTTTGTTGGTGGGGCGAGGAGGTCGTACACGCGCTCGCTGTAGATCTCATAGTACGAAATCTCAACCTTGAACGACTTGCCCTGATGGTGGTCATGGTGGTGACGGCGTGAGGGTACGGTGGTGGTGGGGTGGAGTGCTGTGTACAGCAGCGACCCAGACACAGTTCAGAGCACCACACACACACACACACACACACACACACACACACACACACACACACACACACACACACACACACACACACACGCACAACTGCGAGAATCACCTGTTTGTTGAGTGCTGCGATGCGGTCGAAGAGCTCGAATGTGAATCGCGGGATGACGCCGCTGCTGCCGGACGAGCGCGACACCGCCGCCCCGGGGATGCCCATCATGCTGCACGGCACGGAAGGAAGGGGGGGGGGGGGTAAAGTGAGGGAGGTGGTGTGCTCATCACGCAAGGGGAAGGAGTACTGTTGCATCAACACACACACACACACACATACACAGACACACAGACACACAGACACACACAGACACACAGACGATTTGTTGTTGACGACGCCCCAACTCCTAGCATTTTTTTTTGTTCTTCACCTGTATGATTTCCCGGAGCCCGTCTGGCCGTATGCGAAGAGGCAGCAGTTGTACCCCTCCATGCATCGGTTGAGCAAAGGCACGCCGATGCGCGTGTACACGTGCGACTGGTCCGAAAACTCGCGGTGTTGTGGGTCGTGTGACCAGAAGCAGTAGTCGTAGTGGAACCTGGCGGTAAGTTGGGGGAGGGGGTTCAGGGTTGAAGGATTGTGGTGAGGTGTGAAGGGGAGGGGAAGAAGACAAAGCCGTGTCTTCGGTAAAGAACGACACGCACACACGCACGCACGCACGCACGCACACACACACACACACGCACACACACACACACACACACTACGCACACCACGCACACACACGCACACACACACACACACTCACGTGTGCGTCTTGCCCTTTTCCGGGTTGTTGATGGTGGCGCTGTTGCCAGAGACAACGACCGCCAACTCAGAGCCGAGAGCCACCTCCCTATCACATCCCGCAAGCCGTGATTAAGAGTTGAGCGTGGTGGCGGTGGTGTTGATGGTGACGGTGCAGTTCGGTTGAAAGCAACAAGCGCACACCAACGACAAGGTGCACACCAACGACTAGGTGCACACCAACAGCAAAGTGCACACTAATGGCAACCACAAGAGCATCCGCCACTGCAATGACCGCGCAGCGCATCCCGAGCACCACAGCAATTGGGTTCTCGGGTCACCTGTCGTTGAAGGGGCGCACGCGAATGGACACGACGACGTTCTGCGACTCCTTGTCGTCATCCCCCTCCTCCATCGCCGCTGCGGATGACGATGTGCTCCCCATGGGAATGATGCGTGATCGCGCACCAGCGCCGCGGCCGACCGGTGACTCCGGGCTCAGCGGCTGCATTTCGGGGATGCCTGGTTGGCGCGGGGTGCGGCGTGCTGCCGGGGTGCGGTGGTTGCGGAGTGGGGTTGCCTGCGGGGTGACGACTGGCGTGCCACCCGTGGACATGCGGGTGTGGGTACGCGGGGAGGCTGAGGGTTCACCGGGCCGCTGTGAGGTGCGTGAGCGCATACCGGCGCTTCCTGGTGTCGCAGGCGCAGATGGCAGGCGCCGCCGTGCTTTGCCTTTTGTGTGTGTGTGTGTGTGTGTGTGTGTGTGTGTGTGTGTGTGTGTGTGTGTGTGTGTGTGTGTGTGTGTGTGTGTGTGTGTGTGTGTGTGTGTGTGTGTGTGTGCGTGTGGGGGTGATGGAAGCGATGAAATGGGCTGTTATCGGGGGCGTGTGGTCATGATGTGGAACACACTTGTTTCGACAGCGGCACTGGCCGTTTTGACTATGCGTGAACAAACAAAACAGAAACGAAGAACAAAGGCTCCATTTACAAACAAGCAACACACACATACACACAACTCACTGTCCATGGTTCGGCGTGTTCCCGGCTCGGCTGATGGTGGTCTGTGTACTGCGACACTGCTGTTGGTGGTGATACTGCTGTGGGCGTTGAGCAGACACACAAGAAGATAATGAGTCAGTGAGGGAGTCAAGGCATACGCGCAAGCACACCACACTGCAAAGCTTTATAATGATGGTATCCTGGTGTCCAGCCCACGCTCAGCTCAAATGCAGTGATGTGGCATCGAGCAGGTTGGATGAAGGCAGCACAGGGCCGCCGCCATCATCATCATTATCAACGAGCACAGACAACCGCAGACAACCGCAGGCACAACAAGCACATCACACAAACCTGCGGAACTGCTGTTGTTGTTGTGCCAGTTTTTTGCCCACCTTTGTGCTGCTGTTGTTGGCAAATTCGCTTTTGCCATTTCACACCAAACACGAAGCACATGCGCAGCACAAAGCACACACAGACACACAGACACACACACACACACACACACACACACACACACACACACACACACACACACACACACACACACACACACACACACACACACACACACACACACACACACACACACACACACACACACCGCCAGGCATGGATCCACGAACGCACGTTGAGATGGCGCGGGACCATGTGCTTCATCCGAGCAACCCGGACGCGCAAGACGCATACGACTTCCAGGCCTTCAAGGAGAAGTTCAAGATTGAAATGCAGGCCATTGACGGCATGGACATGGAGTTTGACATGATTGGTGTGGATGCCGCCATCGCCAACGCTGTGCGGCGCATCCTCATCAGCGAAGTGCCGACCATGGCCATTGAGCAGGCTTACATCTATCACAACAGCAGCGTCTTGCCCGATGAGATGCTGGCGCACCGCATTGGGCTCATCCCGCTTGCCGTGGATGCCCGTCGCTTCAGGACCCTCGAGGAAGACAGTGAGTTTGCATGTGTGTGCGTGTGCATGTGCGTGTGTGTATTTGTGTGTGTGTGTGCATGTGCGTGTATTTGTGTTTGTGTGTGTGTGCATGTGTGTGTGCATGTGTGTGTGTATTTGTGTATTTGTGTTTGTGCATGTGTGTGTGTTTGTGTTTGTGCGCGCGTGTAGAGTGTACACACGTACAGTAGACACACGCCTCAGTGTTGCTATTCACGAAGCATGGTTCTTCCCACCCACAGACAACGAGATGAACGACTTGAATACACTCGTGTTTGACCTGGATGTGGAGTGCAAGCACCGCGAGGGTGCCAAGGCCGGCGAAACCGACAAGAACAAGAAATACATCAACCACATGGGTGCGTGTGTGTGTGAGCGAATGTGAGCGAATGCGTGATATGATTCGCAGTCCTGCTTGTGGGTACTGCTTGGTAGATTGCTTGTTGCTGCTGGTGGAGTTGCTGATGTGGGGTGCGTCAGCTCACTCACACTATCTTGTCTGGTCTGTCTGGTTTGGCAACAGTCATGTCCAGTGATATCAAGTGGCAGCCCAAAGGGAACCAGAAAGACCGGGTGAGATGACCGTTGGTTGTGCGTTGCTGATCGTGCGTTGACTGTGCGTTGGCTGTGCGTTGTTTGTGCGTGGGTTGTGTGTGCACGTACGTGTGCTCATTTTATCCACACATCCACACATTGACACCATCGACACATCCGCACGTGCACCCCTCCCCTCCATTCACTCACACATCATCCTCCGTCTCTCCCCACCTCACCCACACACCCATACATCCCTCACTCGTATCCTTCACCATGCCCGCGTTCAGTTCAAGACGGCCATCTGCCCCGTACACGAGGACATCCCCATTGTTGAGCTGCGCCCGGGCCAGCGCGTGTCCATGGAGCTGCACTGCTCAAAGGGCGTTGGAAAGCTGCACGCCAAGTGGTCCCCCGTGGCCACCGCGTCGTATCGCAACGCTCCGCACATTGTCCTCAAGCAGCGCGTCACAGGAGACCTGGCATACCGCCTCCAACAGTGCTTCACAGACGGTACAGTGGTGGTGGTGACATGTTAAAGAGTGGTGTCAGTGATGCCTTTTGTCATTGTGCAGCTTATACGTCACCATGACAATGTGGATGATGGACACAACACACACATCCCATCCCATTTGCATTGTCTCATGTTTGTGCCTGTCTGTTTTGTCTCTCCGTCCGCCTTGTCCCACGTGCGCGCCGTGCGTGTGTGTCAGGTGTGATTGAGGTGCGTGACGGTGAGGCAGAGGTTGTGAACAGCCGTGCGGACATGATGAGCAGGGAGCATCTGCGCCACGACGACCTCGCACCGCTCGTCCACACCACACGCAGGCGCAACCACTTCATCTGTACGTCCTATGCTGTCGGGGGGGGGGGTGTGTGTGTCTGTGTGTGTGTGTGTGCTGTGGAGGTGCGATTTCGCTCTGGCGATTTTGTGTATGCACGTCTGTTCTGCACCTGCGTTGCTCATTCGCTTTGCTCCTCCCCACTCTCCATGAACACCTCACCAACACCAACACCAACACCCCCCCCAATCCCCTGTGCGTGTGCAGTCCAAGTTGAGTCGACGGGCGCGCTTGAGCCGGACGTGCTGGTGTGTGAGGCCGTGGGCGTCCTCAAGGACAAGTGCTCGCGGCTTCTCGATCAACTCAACGCCATCACCGGCACAGAGTAGCGGTGGCGGTGGTGGTTGTCATTGGTGGTGGTTGATTTGGTTGGCGGATAGAGGGGTGGTGGGCTGGTTGGCTAAGCGGGGCTGTTGGCTGGGGGGGGGGGACAGCGCAAGGAAGAGAGCAGGAGAGGACTTGCTGTTTTGCTTGCTTCTTTACATTGTAAACATACGTTCAGCTAAGACAATCAGTCAGTCAACAGGACAAACGAGCATACAAACAGGACAAACGAGCAGAAACACAAACAAACAAACAAACACACACACACACATCTCAGTCGTCGTCGTCGTCGTCCCACTCGTCCGAGTCCACGCCCTCCAAGTCATCACCAGGAATGTACTCCTTGGTTGCCTTGTTTGCCATGATCTTGCCTGCCCACGTGTCGCCAACATCTGCCTCGCCGCTCGTGCCAGAGAAGTTGGTCACCGCCTTTGTCAGCCGGTCCACCACGCCGAGCGACTCTGCACACATGCGCACGCGCGCGGGCAGCGGTGGTCAGGACAACAAGGGGATTGTGTGAGGTTGAGGGAGGGGAGGGGGGGTGTGTGGAGAAGGAGAGGGGTTGGGAGGTTCGGAAAAATGCTGCACAGCGGACGACATGCACATACAGTGTGCGTGTGTGCGTGTGTGCAATTGATATCTGGACTAACCAATGAAACAGGAATCGCCATGTGTGCGGAAGCGGAAGTGATCCCCCTGAGGATTGCCAGCATTGAGATGAGTTGGAGTCAACATGAGTGTGGCAGCGGCAAGACTACGGACCTGGCACTGACGCTGAACAGGCGCAGACAACGCAATTATACACACACACACTCTCTCTCTCTCTCTCTCGTTCTCTCTATCTCTTACTCGCGGACGCACATACAAATCGCAAACACAAACAAACACACACACACACAAAAACACACAAAAACACACAAAAACACACAAATTGCACACACACACACACACACACACACACAAATTGCACAGACCACGTGGAGATCACTGCCGGAGATGACGCGTTCTGGGACGAGAAAGGCGGTGCCGTCAGCAAAGCGTGTTGCCTCCACCTTCATGGCGGCCTGGCTCGCGCTGATGCGCTTCTTGGCATCGTCCTGTGACACCCGGTCCGACCGCTCCGTCTTCGACTGCAGTGGCAGCAGCGGAGACAGAGGAGGTGCCAGAAGAATGAGGAGAAGGCAAACCATGCTTGTGGCCAATGTGTGCAGAGAGGAGAGGGGTGAGAGGAACAAGGAGCTGTAGCTGTGCTGTGAGAAACGCACCACATACGATGAGTTGAGGTGGCCTGTGCGGACTCTGGTGGTGACATGGGAGAGCGCTTCTACTTCCACGCCGCCCTCAAACTGGCGTTCCAGCGCCCCTTGCACCTCAAAGTCCAAGCGCATGTACCTGTGCTGTGTGGTGGGTGTGGTGTGTGTGTGAAAAGAGAGGCAGAATGCGACAGGGAAGCAGAGAGAGAGAAACGGAGGTGAAGGAAACAGAACACACACGCGGGTTGACACACGAGCACACACACACACACACACACACACACACACACACACACACACACACACACACACACACACACACACACATACACACACACACACACACGAGCGCGTACACGCACACACACACACACACGAGCGCGTACACACACACACACCCGTTGGTTGTCGCCGTCCACAACGACGAATCTGCGTTTGGATTTGAGAATGCCATCCACAATCATGCCAGGGCCGCTGCAACAACAAAGCACAATCGTTGCACCAAAACGTGAGCATATGCGTATAATCGACACAGCTGTCGTACAAGCCCTCTTCAAGCTTTTAAGCACACCACCAACCTGCAGAGTGAGCCCTCGCTCCAGCCCGCACCCACGTTCACTGTTTGTGTTTCCGCCATGTCGCTTCGCCCGTGCTTCGCTGTTGTTGTTTGGCTAGAATGTTGTGTGAAATCATTCATCAATTCTCTTCATCCACACCCAAGAAGAACGAGCACAAGAACGGCGATGTTGCCCTCGTGTGTGCAGCTTGTGAGGCGAGCGATGGTTGGCCGTGGTGCTGTAGCTGGCACAGCGGCGTCGGCAACGGCTGCGTTGGCTCGCCCAGCACCCAGTGTACTCGCTGCCTTGTCTCGCACATCCAACACATTCCAAAGACCTCTTCACACAGGTACCACGACTGTCCGTTTATGTGAGCGTTTGCATGTGTGTGTGTGCGTTTGCATGTGTGTGTGTGTGTGGTGTGTTTGCATGTGTGTGTGTGTGAGTGTGAGCCTGTGTGTGTGTGTGTGTGCGTGTGTGATCCTCTGTGTGTGTTTGCATGTGTGTGTGTTTGCATTCTTGTGAGCCTGTGTGTGTGTGTGTGTGCGTTTGCATTCTTGTGAGCCTGTATGTTGCGTGTGAAGGAGTGAGCAGACGGCAAGCACGGTCGTTGACCCGGGATACCCACGCATATCCATCCGCATGCGACATCCACCTGCGACAGGGGCGCCCGTGATGGAGGCGACGCCAAACAGGGGTGCTCGTGGCCACGACCTTCCAGAAACGGCGCGCGAGGTGACACAGGGGTGCCCCGCTTGCCCTTACAAGGAGGAGATTGACTACAAGGTGCGTGTGTGTGTGCGTGCGCTTGTGTGTGCGCGTGTGCGCACATGTGTGTTGAGCTATGGTGAAGATGTATGTGCGCATGTGTGTGTATGTGCATGCGTGTGTGAGCATTCTTTATGAGTGGCCACGCAATGAGACTACGCAACCGCCGCTACACTTGATGTTCCTCGAGCTTACACACGTGTAATGTACTTGTGCGTGCAGAATGTTCGCTTCCTGTCACAGTTTGTGTCTCCACAGACGGGACAAATCCTCCGACGGTCATCCACAGGTGCGTGCACGTGCTCGTTCTTCTCGCGCGTGTTTGTCATGCATGTGTTTGTTCCTTCGCTTGCAATGTTACCCTCCTGCTTCCTGCCTCTTTCATCACGCACCTCACGTGTGCCGCCAACTTGTGTTTACCCCATCCACAGGTCTCTGTAGCAAAGCACAACGCAAGATCGCAAAGGCCATCAAGCGCAGCCGGCACTTTGGTCAGGCCCCTTGCCTGCATTCCTCCGCACCTGACTACCACGCACAAACCCATTACATGCACGGCGTCTCATCACACACACACACACACACACACACACAGAGTGCATGTGCGCCAGTGCTTACCTTTCCTGTCCCTCGTTTGTGTGTGTGTGTGTGTGTGTGTGTGTGTGTGTGTGTGTGTGTGTGTGTGTGTGTGTGTGTGTGTGTGTGTGTGTGTGTGTGTGTGTGTGTTTGTGTGTTTGTGTGTGCAGGACTGATGCCGCACGTATACCGTGCCCACGCCGAGGACCCCGTCTTTACCTCTGGCGGCAAGCACCCCGTGCCCAGCAGCCGCTAATGCAGTGTGTGTCTGTCTGTATCAGTTTGTGGCTGTGTCAGGTTGTGTATGTTTGTATCTGTGCGTGTGTGAGTGTGTGAGTGTGTGTGTATGTCTCTGTCTCTCTCTCTCCCTCTGTCTGTCTGTCTGTCTGTCTCTCTCTCTCTCTCTCTCTCTCTCTCTCTCTCTCTCTCTCTCTCTGTCTCTCTCTCTCTGTCTGTCTCTCTCTCTCGCTCTCTATGCGTCTGCTTCTCTTCCTCTGTCTGCTTTTGTTTCTCCCCCGAAGTTTCTCGTTCTCCCTCTCCGCTTGTGCATATGTAGGTAATGGCGAGCAAGTAAAACAACGCAATTGGTTCATTCAAACGCGTTTCTGGGACAACACACCAGAGACGGACTGACGATCAGGTGTTCATACACACGCGCACACGCACACGCACAAGTTCGCTTTGAAGGTTGGCTAAGGAAAAAAAAAAAAAAAAGAAAGCAGAGCACTTATGGGAGAGAACAGCAGGAAGTGAGAAGCAAGTTAGAAAGAACAACAGTGGGCGAGCAAGGACTCGGAAAGAACAACAGCAACACAAGCCACATACAGCCAGAAAACACCTAAACATACACAGTGTTTCCCCTCAGAAAACACCTAAACATACACAGTGTTTCCCCTCTCCACACTCGTCCACCAGCACTGTTTCAAGCCTTGACGTCTGTGGCTGGTGCCACGCTGGGTGCAATGGCGTTCGTTGGCTGTGGCTGCTTCCACGTGCCATTGGGCATGGCTGCACCGCCGTCCTTGGCGGTGCACTTGTGCAGGGTGACCTGTTGCACCTGCGCGGCAATCTCCGCCACCGTCTTGGTCAGCGCGCATCCCTTGAGAACAAGGTGCTGCACGTCCTGCATGTTGGCAATGGGCGGGTCAACGACGCTTTCGTACTCCACCGTGCCCACGTTGGTTGCCGACTTGATGTCCACACGCCAACAGAACTTGCTCTTCTTCGCCTTGTAGTGCAGGCGCTTCACGTTTGTGAGCTTGAAGCTCACGCCCTCGCCCTCAACCACGTCCACCTCGTCAGCGTCGTTGACCGTCGCGGACCCGGCGCAGTCACTCAGCGTGACCTCCTTGCACGTGATTGTGTCAGAGTCGAGGTACACGCACGTGAGGTGCAGCCGCTCCAAGTGCTGCAGCGTGGCCAGCCCCTGCACCTTGGCCATCGGCGACCCCTTGCATGTGAGCGAGCGCAGCAGCGGCATTGCGCTGACGTCGATGGATCGGAGTCTGCTCCACGTCACCGTCACCTCCTTCAGCCACGGTGCCATCTTCAGCAGCCCGCGCGCCTTGGAGTTGGGCACGAACAGCCGCGAGCCCTCCAGCCCCTTGACCACCCCAAAGTGCTCCCAGGGGCCTTCGTAGAACACGTGCAGGTTGCCCTTCTTGGCGCGAATGGCAGCAGACGCCAGGCGTCGCGGGTCCCCTGAAGTGCGCACGCACACGTCGGTGGACGTCTTGGCGATGGCGGCAATGTCCTTGGCCGAGTTGCAAAAGTGGTGCCCGCTCAGGTGCACCTTCTCTGCGCTGGGCAGGACAGGCACCACGACTGGCAGGGGTGGGTTGTAGAGAAATTCGTCGTATGTCACCCTGAGCACGTTCAGGTGCCGCTTGCAGGTGATGCTGCGGCACGCGTGGTTGCGCAGCTCAACGTGCGTGGCGTTGGGGAGTACCAGCGCACCTTTCACTGCAGGGCAGTTCAGCAAAGTAACGCGGCGGGCGTTGAGGGTGACCTCTGTCGCAGCAGGCAGCGCGCCACCTTGCAGGGCCAGGGAGCCCGTCACGCTGGACAGCGGGGACACGTCGGTGGTCTGCGAGAGCCTCAGGTTTGCGGAGGCGGCGCTGCGCAGCGTGGAGATGTCAAGGCCTGGCGCAGTGCACTCGACAAAGACAGACGTGACGCCGGTGGGGAAGGAGAGGCTGGTGGTGGTTGGCGGCAGCTCGACAGTGGCCAGGCGCACGTTTGAGACGGTACACGCCTTCACGCAGCCCGGCTTCTTGCCGGTGGCGTTCACCACGATGTCGTCTGCGCCCTGTACGGTGAGGGCGTCGACCGTGCCGGAGATGCACAGGCGGAGCTTCTCGCATGCGGGGACGGTGAGTTCGGCGAAGGTGCCAGCGATGGTGAGCTGCAACGTGCCGAGCTGGCCGCCGCCCTGCACGACAGACGCCAAGAGAGCCTCCACGTCGGCCCAGTTTTGCGGCAGCACGCGCGTCTGCAGGGAGAGCTGGGCTGGTTTGGGGACCTGCGTCCACTGCTTGGCTTTTGGCGGCACCTTGGTCAGGAACAGCCGCACGTGCGTGCGGGCCTTGAGCGGGTCCACCGTGGTCAGGGCAGGGCAGGAGGAGCTCCACAGCGCGCCGAGCCACGAGTGCACGAGGAAGCGCTGCCTCTCCCAGTCACCGCCGCCGAGCTGCGCAAAGGCGCTGTTGGCGCCGGGCTTCTTGAACGCGGCCGCCAGCAGCCATTTCGGAAGCCGCAGGGGCATGTCCTCCAGCAGCTCGTGGCATGTCTGCATCAGCTTGAACAGCGATCGCGGATCATGCTCCAGGTGCACGGCCACCAATTCCCACTGGAAGCCAGCGCCAGGGCCCGTCATTCCTGTCTGTGTGTGTATGTGTGGCGGAAGGGAGAGGGCGAGATGTGCGTGTGTGTGTGTGCGGGTGTGTGTGTGGGTGTTTGTGTGTGTGTACGTGGGTCTGTGTGTATGTGTTTGTGTGCGGGTGTTTGGTGTTCGACGCTGCTTGCTGGCGGGAAAATGGCGGGAAGTCAGCGAAGTGTTCGCGCGACTTTTGAACGTTGCAACAACATCGAATCAAAAGCAACAAAAAGGTATTTTCGGTGTGGCGCGATAATCTACGAACCATTTACATCACTTTTCCGTGCCTGCCTGGTGTGTGGAAGACGCGACGCTTTGTGCTTGTTGTTGTTTTGTTTGTGAGGTGACGGGGCGTGGAGGGAGGAAGAGTGGTGGTGTGTCGTCGTGGATGTTCTTGTCGTCGCTGGCATGCTGTTGCTGGTGCTGGTGGTGGTAGTGTTCAACCCATGCTTTGACTCACACACACGCATGCACAACAACACACAACAATACACAACAATACACAACACGAACAACACACCAACCACCACGACTTGCTTTACTTTGTGTTGCGTGTCTCGCCGTTTCATTCGCAGGAAGCAGCAAGCTCGTAGCGCAACTGCTTGTGTTTTTGAGACGTGTTCGCCGTTGAGACCGCCACCATGTCGACGAACCAGGGCATGCAGAGCCTGATTGAGATTGTCAACAGGCTGCAGGATGCTTTCTCTGGCCTGGGCACAGACGCGCCGATCGACTTGCCGCAGATTGCTGTCGTTGGCGGCCAGTCTGCCGGCAAATCCTCCGTGCTGGAGAACTTCGTGGGCAAGTGAGTCCTGTGTGTGTTTGGGAAGGAGGGTGGGGGTTGGGGGGAGTAGAGTAGGTTGCGCGCGTGCGTGCGTGCGTGTGTGTGTGTGTGTGTGTGTGTGTGTGTGTGTGTGTGTGTGTGTGTGTGCGTGTGCGTGTGCGTGTGTGTGTGTGTGGCGTGTGTGCGTGTGTTATTC